AAAAAAAAACATTCTGTCAAAGTCATGCTAACTGAAGAGAAGAAGGGTTGAAGAAATCAAGAGAAGCTAAGAAGTCGAACGTGATCACCAAGTGTTCACTGATGCAGTCGTGCTTGGAACAATTAACATCAAGCAGGTGGAGTGGTCGTTGGCTTATTCCAATTACGCAGTCGGGAAAAGACACATTGCGGATGATCCCGACAACGAAGTTGAGCTTTAGAAGCGACTGGTTTTCCATTCCCGATTCGCGCTCAATAAATTGAACACCTTCGAATCATTCGGACAGTTTGGCGTTGTTTACCTAGGTCAGCAGGTCACTCAAGTAAACAAATTACCTGTAGACTTGTTTAAGAAGGGATTGCATACCGTAGTAATCAACTAGGAGCATCGAAGGAGCAGTAGAAGTGATGCAAAACATTCGACTTCATTCGATCTCTCCGAATCTTTTCTGCTCTCTGCAATAGCATCGGTCAGTTCCAGAGACTAAGCCATCAAGCCCAATCCGCTGCAAATCAAAAGGGCAACATTTGGAGTGTTGTGATTCAGCCAAGTGGGAAGAGCGGACGAATTTCCGCATTCCTGCAAAGTTCATATTTCATAATATGCTTGGGACGTAAAGCGATTTCAAGCTAGCTGTTGGGTCGGAGCGGTTATCGACTGGATCCCTGAAGGTATCAGTTGGACAGAATTCATTGTGAAAGCCTAGGTCAATGGAAAGTGTCTCAGCTTACCGCACTCGGGGGAATCTCAATAGAATACTCTCGAGTTCCAATATAATTGAAGAACGCGAATCGAATTAGCCTATAGAACACTATCCCGTTGGGATACGCCCAGCGCTCGGTGGAGGTTTTGGATGCCGAGGTGGTCCAGACATGAATTGCAGTAACTAGTCAATGTAAAAGTCACTTACTGACCTCACTGTTTGAATGCTAGTAAAAATCAGTGTTTTCCCTCTGCCGGGCGGGTGAGGTGGAAGGCTTCTGGCCTGGGCGAATGTCAAACCGAAGTTCGATCCTCTGACCTTGCCTGTGATTGCGCACCACTTGGCGCCACACCATCTCAGCATAAAATACAAGGACTGCATTCTTTAGGGAACATTCAGAAAGTGGAGAAATTTCGGAATTTTCAAAAAAAGCTTCTGATTATTCACCGTGTCAATCCCAAAAAACCCTGCCTTTCGCCAGCTCATGTTTCACAAGAAGTCCGAAATTTTGTTGAAAATCAATGTTCTGAAAAGCTGTTCAAAATTTTAGGCTAGCAACTGCGTTGCTGAGTAACTAGGTAATTTCTAAGTACTTCAAACACTTATATCAGAGGTAACCCTATTTTTTGAATCAAAAACTCATTTTGTCGGCTAATGTGTTGATTCTCCACGTATTTTCCTCTATATTATAGGTGTTTCACAAGTAGTTCGTAGCTGGATTCGATCTGAAACACGCAAGGTTAAAATTCATTACCAAATTGACAAACATTTAAAAAGTCCAAAGTCATATCCCTGATTTCCACATGTCAGTGGGATATTTTTAGCTCAACTCGACTATTTACCTGTCCCACGGTGATGCCACTTTTCTGTTCTCAACTTCTCACCCTCCTGACGAGCTTTCCCAGACAGCTCACCCTCGTCTCTCTGGTTTGTTTTTCAGCGCTTTGCTCGTTTTCACTGATATATTTGATATCATTAAAAGAAGTCATAAATTCAAAGTGTTTACTGTAACAATCGATCCTGCCAGTATATTCGAGTCATTCTCGTCTTCTTCCCCACCGTGGCGAGTTACTTATGAAAAATGTCAATTGTTAAAGATGTATAAATGTTAAGTATAGATTTTATGAACAACTAGAGCTACCATTATATTCCAATACCTGGATTGACTATTAAATAGGTCTAGGGACACAGGAACATCGACCTGAAGACCTTTGCACTATCCTTGTAGAAATTCACATTCATTCACATCCCATCCTTCGATAAAAAGTTGAGCACGTGGTCCACTCCTATTGGTATGAACATTCTATCTTATCTACGATTTAATCAGCATTTTGCCCATAAATCAAAACAAGCTGTATGCATTGCTACGAACAGGATCAACTGGGCTTTCTCCCTTATCATTCCTTGGTAGATGATTTATTCATTATCCATCGAAATTGAAGAAATTGTCCTTTTTATCGGTCAAAAAAAGGCATTCCGCGTGCGCTGAAACTGCTGATAGCCCAGGTTTTCTGAAGTCACCTGCCAAAGCTTACTCAGCGCCGCCTAGCCTCTTTTTGATGTCTTTAACGGTGTGATCCCTTCACCAGAAAATCGCGTCGCGCTCGCCACAGCCCCCGCGTATCGCAGAAAGGCCACAGATGATTGGGGTGCGCAAGCAGTGAGACTGAGAGCCTTCATCTACCATAGTTATACGGTAATCGCAGTTTGAAGCTGCGAGACAACTAAAAAAGATTTGCCGCAATTGTGCGAATCGAGAAACAGTTCCGCCATCCCACTTAAAATGAAAATAAGAGGGTGCAGGTAAGTACTAGCAATGTACACCGAACTTCTCCAAATCTCTTTCTGGAGGCTTGGATGATCTCTGTTAATGGTAAAGGCTAGAAATTGAGAAATTGTGTTGAAATAGAATCTCAAAAATGGTTCAGGGGTAGCTAGTCATTGAAAAGTGGAATACTACCTGAAAACCCGTGATTTCTAGAACGATATGTACCCTGACTGATCACCCTGACTGGGTGCCACTGATCGTTCCCACTTATAGCCCAAAGTGGGAATTTTCTGAATCCAGACCTCTCACTACCATGCGTAATCGACCAGAGGCTTCAGCAGGATACTTCCGATGTAGACAGTCCACGACCGATGATGTTTTTGAAGGACCTCACCTTGCCGACTGAAAAAAACTTGGCTAGGGAAGTGGGTGGCCACCAGATGGTTTCTCACGTCTTGAAGGGATCGGCAGAAAAAAAATTTGACTACAGGGGAAGTGGAAGTCACAGAGGGAGCGGTATTTTTATCTATCATAACAAGCTATTACTCGACTAGCTAGCCAGCAATATGAAACCAAAGCAATTGCTGACTTGAAATTTGATTCCTTTCACTGGATGTAAGGCCCTATCAGCTTGTACGCCGTCCTTGACTCATCTTTACAATTACAACTGGCTGAGTAACAAAATGAACTTACACTAAGCTCATGCGAATCGCGATCATGACTAAGATGGGGTTATATAAGGAACACTTCTGTAGATGTTGTTCGGGCACCAAGTTATGGCTGGGGATTGGGAGGAAGAGTTGGTTGGATGGAACAGACCACGACTTCAAACCCTCCTAATGAGCTCCCTGGAAAGCCTTCCTCTCCCAGGCCTCTTTTTCGTACTAGCACTACCTCCATACACCTTGAAGAACATGGTTAGAAGTATATCAGTCGTGGAATGGAAGAAGTAAAGTAAGCCCAGTTAGTCTCCCATTGACTTCTCCCACTAAAGGAAAGCCTGGTCAGCATATATCTGATGGGGAAAAAGGCCAACTCAGCAATTGAAAGCAATTCTTTGAAGTTTTGGATTATGATTTTTGATTAACTACTGAATTCTCAGGCGGAAACAGCCTAAGGGACACGTCTGCCCCAGAGTACGCTTCCCATCCCAATCAATCAAGTATTTCTCGCCTCCGATGATGATTAATGGGCTCTAAACCTAACATATGTTTGAAAATTTGCGAAAACTCCTTTTTTCTTTGAAGAACTTATTGATGAGGACTCGTTTCAAGATCGATTATGCTACATTAGCAAAACAAATAGCACACTATCAAGAGGGCATGACGGGCACTCCTTCCAATTTCTGAATGGGTGCCATATATATGGCCTATCCTCCAAGGATGATCAATGTGAGCAAATAACCTTTTGTTAGGAATTCCAAGTGATTAAACTCACCAATTCTTGGCGTTGCTATTCCTCCCCCATTACACCATCTGCTTTACAACAGTCTATTTCTTAGTTACACTAAAAAACTGCCTCGATCACCTTTCAAAATGTTGGTAGAGATGTTGTGAGCCGGAGAAGCATTCATCAAAGTTATCATTCCGAAAACTCTTCTATCCATTGCGATATCTCAACCATTTCTTCCATTTTGATTGACTTCTAGAGTTACTGTTAGCTTACTAGCTTTACTATACTCTAGCGGACATGAATATGACCATCGTTCGCTTCGACTTGTTAGCCAACCCTACCAAGTAGTTCGTCATTTGCGATTTGATTCAGTGGTTCATCACATTCCTTGGCTGATATGCTAATGGGGAAGGTAAGGAGGGAACCAGTACCATACTTGTGGTGTAGGGATCGAATCTCGGGATGTATCCGTCCAGGGGTAGGTACAATAGTTCATCGATCTGTAGTCGATCACTTTAGACTTTTCTGGTTTAAGAAGGTAAAAGCTTGAAATGACTAGTACATCGGCTGGCTTTAGCAATACATTTAGCTGGATAATTATCACCTGTATCACCTGTCGTCCCGTTAATTATCGATTTCCTCAAGCGGGCGCTAGTAACTCCCCATTCGTCCTAGTCGCGAGCCAGACTGGTCCAGTGGATTGTCCTCGATTGAGGAACACGAGGCACAGCACTCTTTTCGTTCAGAACTTTCGTGAAAATATCTGACATCGCGAATCGCGCTGGCAATGCCACCTCTCCAGCTGAACCTCAAATATGTTTGTGCGCGTGTCCTGGAACCCAAATAATCGATACCAAAACTTTTATTTGTAACTATTTTATACCATTGTCCTTCATCCTCCAGACGAACATTAAAAAACTGGCAGGTGGTGAAACTGCTGCAGCATGGCTCTCGGGAATAAATGTAGACACAACTATCTCTGATGGCTTTGTTTTTCGAGTTTTATATCCCTTGAACTTAACCAGTTGGTTACCAACTTATCAAATGTTGGCAGCTGAATAGAAGCACTTTGTCTCCCAGGCTGGATTAACTCTGTACGATTGCTCGGTTAAAACATAAGTTTGGAAGCCCATCGATCCATCAAATAGCAGCAACCACTGTCCATCCACAGCTGAATTTTTTGATCTTTTTTTCCGATACTTGTCTGGCNAAGTAAGCCATCCATCTGGAACCGATTCAAAATCGTATAAGCATTTGGAACGTGTGCGGCCGCGGCTGCTGACTGCATTAACTTGGATATGGCGCCCGAAGTCTAAAGCCTTCTTTCCTCCCAGGCACCAACTCTAACTCCATGCAGTTCGCTCAGGAAAGTGGGACGGCTGACTAATCTCAGAGAAATTTGATTCTTTGGTATTGTTATCGGTAATTACCCTGTTGTTCTTACACTATTCCTCAATGCGAGACAAATAATTGCGAAACAAACTACATTCGAAGCTGTCGGCATGGATTCTACCTCCTGCTAGACATACCACACGATCCGTTCACATCATAGTCCGTTGCCCGAGACAGCTGCAAAAGCAAAAACAGTTTAGATGTACTGAAATTACGTCCGATACACGGCATCTAAGCAGTAACCCGATCTTCAGCGGCTTTGTTTCTTTCTAGCAAAATTTAGAACAAGGACAACCCCCCTTTTAACTCCTCGACCACTCATTTATCTCTCAACCAGGACTGATGCACTGCTTTGGCTCTTTATTGTAGCTCTGCGACAGAACGACCCAGAACTGCAAGAATTACTGTTTTTATTCTCGATGTCGAATGCACTGGCAACAAACTGATCAACTGGTAGCCAACTTTCGGAGCTCTGTTGGTCTAGGCGGTATTCGATCCCTCGACCATAATCCTGAGGGAGGAGACGGGCAGATGTTCCCGTCAAGTTCAACACCCTCATCACACATTAGGCCTTTTCACTGACTAATTGCAGCTATTTTTATTTGAATTGGTGAAAAATGTGATTGATCTGTTTCTCAGTATACAACTTGGACAAATAACTTCAATATGAATAATAATTGAATAAAATTTAATAAATGGAAAGAATTGAACGATAGAAGACAAAGAATGACTGATGATTGCTTCTGAGGTTTTCAAAAACTCGGAGAAGCCACTTCGCCAAAAACTTGGAGAAGCCACTTCGTCTCTCAATAGTTATTCGCCCGGCGGCCGCATTTATGATGCTCTTCCTGAACCTCGTGCTCCTAGTCCACCTATTTGGAAGAGGAGCGTCTTGTATCCCAAGCCGACTTAGATTTTCAGGTAGCGAACGAAACCAAAGAAATATCTGCTACCGATGGCATTCCAAACACCATGCGCCAAAATATTTCTATCGATAAAGGCTAAGTGAGTCTGTTAAAAATGTTTTGATTTGTTATACCATAATTGTTAGCTAATCATTAATCAGTTTCATTTTATTCATTTGTTCAATTTAGTTGCTTATCATTTTCATTTGATTGCATCCTTATCGTTTCATAGTGTTCCAGTGGACTGAAAGATCGGGATGTCCTAACAAGGAGCGATCCAATATGCACGGTTTCTATGCTTATCAAACTACCTAATGGTAAATTACCAGAATTATCTGGTTCTATCAATTTTTTTCTTGCTGCCAGAGGAAGCTTCCAGAATAGTGATCTGATGGCCACTCTTTAGGCAAGCAGAAATGGACAAAACTCGGACATACGGAAGTCGTTTGGGATAGTTTAGATCCAGAATTCGTACGAAAAATTCCATGCGACTATATTTTTGAGGAGCGTCAGAAAATGAAGTTTGAGATGTGAGTTATTTATCGCATTTCACGGCACAACAATCAATGCAGGTGACCCTGGATTGGTCATGGTGGGATGCGCCACGCCCTCGTCATTCATCGGACTCGTTCCGAGCCTAATGTCATCGTAGTAAAGTTTTGACTTCCCTTCGAGCTTGAATTGATGGCAAAACTATTATCCGATTTGGATCAAAAGCGAGTACATGGCGTAACAAATTTGTAATTCTACCCTCATGAACGATTCTGAAAGTGATAGCCAGTTGAGATGGATTACCTTGCCCAGCGGGAGCGGGATATGACCGAGCCTAACAAATACGGGCTGTGGAATAGAAATGAGTCAGAAAGAGGATTGAGGTTCCCTTTGTATCTCATATGGCTTACCTGTCCTCAAGAGAAGGATCATACTCTTCAAAGTCCCTGAAGACGTCGGATTGAGTAAAAACCCTCGACATGGCATAATGCAACCTATGGACACAATCTTTACAATAATTTGCCTCTGGATGGAGTTTTACCCTATCGACAAGGCCTTCTCTGCGAGATTCCCAGTGTGTTTCTTGCCCGTGGGCTGCAAATACTACTCAAAAACTGAATTCCACAGCCCTCCACCAGCTTTATTACACTTTCAGTCACTTCTACGAATTCCGTTGGAAGGCGTGTAGGTGGCACTTCCGAGAAAGAAACAATCGACACTTTCAGCTATTATTGTGGAGATAGGCAAATGATATTCTGCGTTACAGATACGATGTGGACAGCACGTCCAGTAAACTCAGCAACCACGATTTCCTCGGTTCGATGGAATGCTATTTAGCTGAGATTGTTAGCACGCGATCCCTCAAAAAGGAGCTGAGGTAGGTCCGACTGGAAGATGAGGATATTTGGCCATCAAAACCACTTTAAAAGTCGTTGAGTTTAGTGGACTTACTGGATATTGCGGCACGATTACGGTATCGGCAGAAGA